CTCTGCAGTAATCAATAAATTTTTTTTTTACAGCTTTGACAAAATCAGCACCCTACTTATTGAGGAAAGAAATTTTATTTTATTTTTTTTATTTAACCTTTATTTAACCAGGAAGTCCCTTGAGATTGAAATCTCTTTTTCGAGGGAGACCTAGCCAAGACGGCACACCAGTTAAAATACAAACAGAAATACAACATAGACAAAATCTCACATATAGCCACCAGGAAACTAAATATATTTATCTGACATTTAGAACATTTCTTGTGTAATCAAATTATTTAAAGACTAAGGAGACAAATAAAATACCATTAACTCTCCCCCACTGCGGTTTCACTGTGAAATCATTAATTGAATCAATTAAAAGCCAAGACGAACATCATCAAGGATTTTGGTTAATCCTAATAGGAATTTGTGTTTATTTTTTCAATTATTTTTTTTCTTGCCAAGACCTTTTGATTAAGTTCAGATTTGGGGAGTGCAAAAATAACAGTTGTTCTACTCATCAGTTTAGGTGGATATCCATCCTTTGGTAGGTCTGTCTTTGTCGCAGGGATTAACATTTCATTTTGTTACCCTTTTTTGAATCTCTCCACAACTTTATCACAGAAAATTGATGTGTTCTTCTGTGCAGCTGCATTGTGGGATTAACTTAGGGGGGGTGGAAAAGAAAAGTTTACTTTCTAGATGTTATTTGTAAAACATTTTGTGAGCATGCTATGTTTTCTCTTTACAATTCATAAATGCACAACCTCCTAAAGATCTATGATATATATTTCAATATAATACAAAAAGGTTTATGGACAAAAGGTAAAAAATGTAAGGGAACCAGAAGATTTGTTCATACAGACATGACATTTTAATTTTTTTTAAAGTTTTAAAATTAATAGGAAAGTTTGTTTTGAAGATTATTCTTATATCCTTCTAAGGAATCATGGGAGAACTGTTAAATTCTTAAATCTTGACCGAGCTTTAACATTTTAACAATATTTCAAATACTTTAAGTTGTTTATTTTTCTACCCAGTAAATCCCCTCCTTTTACGAAAGTTGTGCTTAATATGAACAAGTCCAGTATGATACTCCAGTTTCTAAGACAGATGAAAAAAAATACATCTAAATAATCTTTTTTAACTAACAATGTTTATTTCTCACATTTAAGAATTTTCACTGTTCATACACATTTCTGATAAATCAGCAGAAGAGAGGGTTTCTCTCATACATTAAACATACATTTTGTCCCCCAGAATTACATTTAAGGTAGTTATATAAGATAATACAACAAAACGTGAATACTCATGTTTTCACTGGTTAAAGTAGTTTCATTTGATACAGGTCTATTTCATGCAAAACATAAAAAAGTTAGTGAAATTCAACCAGAAAGGCTCCCATAGAAAAAAACAAAAAAACATGTTAAATCAAGTTTTTTGGGGAAATATCACTCCAGTACCAGTCCATGTCCTCTAGAGGGCGCTTTAGATGTTTGAAAACAAATGACTGGCCGGGGTTTCTCCACTGGTGGTGGCTTTAGTCACCAGTTCAGCAGATTCTGTGTGGTTTACAAAGACAAAGCAACATCCTGAAAGTTAGGAATCAGTGAAATAAGAAAATAATGTTTAACAAATCACTGGAGCAAGCAAAATATAATGCACAGAAATACAATGGCATTGCACTCTTAAACAAGATGCTGATCCTTAGAGTTGATAAAGAGCTGCTTTTTTAGGCGGGCTTCTTACCTTTTTTGTTAATTCCTAAACAGGCCAATTACGAAGGAGCAGACACCATTAAGGGACCTCCAGCAGTACTGTTTAGCCATTCTCTTGCTTGTGCTCTCAGTCGGTGGTGCGGTCGTTTGTGACTGGGCTGTGGTTTTAACTTTCTCTGATGCCCGAGTTGTTTTCACAAGTGCCTTCACTGTCACATTCGGTCTTGTGTGTGCGGACAAACGTTGGGGTCTTTGAGGCTGTCGTAGGTATGGGCCAGCCGAGAAGATCATTCGGGAGTCATCTGTCGCCTTCCTGCACATGTTAGGTTTGATCTCTCTGGGACCCTGGCAGGCATTCGGTAGCTTTCTGAGGATCCACATTATCTGGACAAAGTAGTGCCTTGGGTTTTTGTTGAAAGCACTGCAAGTGTAAGGTTTTCCCACATACTCACACCAATAAGACCTCTTGCTGCCCTCGCATGATAGCCTCAGCTTCATGTTTTCCCCCTGGCCTGTGAGTATCATGGTGCATTTGTCCTTATTCTTGGTCGTGAACTTGATGGGATCATCCCAGATGCTTTGTCTCGTTTCGCGCTGAGCTTCAGCTGGCCAAGGACAATAGGCAAGGAGCAGAAGAGCAGTGGCCTGGATCCACATGCTGTCGGATGAATGCTGAGGGCAAGATGAGAGTGGAACCGCTGGCGCTCAGGCTATTTATTGGCCAAGCGACACGGTAACTTAAGGCACACAAAATGAGTCAGAATAAGAAAATGTGGTTATGTGGGCGGAGATTGGAACAACCACTTTCAGCTGAAATGTATGTAAAGATTTTTGTTGCAGCAAGGAAGCTTATGTTTGATTTCTTTCTATAAAACATGATATACTCTCAAAGATTAAGACATTTTAGACACACTCAAGTGGTCTCCAAATCACACAGGTCAGTTTAACATTGCATTATTTCACTCATCGACAACATGTTCATAGCTTTGTGTTGTATATATTTAGAAACCAAATGTAAAAGCAGATCAAAAAGAAAATGAACTCTGCTTCTTTGTTTTAAGTGGCAGTTAAAGCTCATAACACTGAAGGGTAAGCTGTCATTTTCCTCTAAACATAAACCCAGAAAAGCACCCCAGAGAAACATAGGCAGACAAATGCTGGAGCAAAACTGCAAAAGAAGGCCAGTAATTGGCATGCCATTCAACAAAGCACATTGAGAGACACTGATAGGGGATCTTACATGAGATTAAGCTTAAGATTCCTGAATAGAATACTATTTTAAGCTGTGGCTGTTATCCCCGTTGCAACTCTTCCTACCCTTCACTCAACTTGCAATGATTTTTCTGTAACTTCTCTACATTGTTCTCATCAGATGTGTATGTTTTTGGATTTCCTTATCTGAAAACCATAAATAAAATCAAATGAGATTCTACCTTTTCCGAAATCAAAGTATACTCATCAAATTTTGAAATTTACGACACAGACACTAATGATTAAGTGTATGATTACGAAGTAAAAAAGTGATTGTTCAACAATTTTTTTTTGGAAGAAATGTATTTAGAAGAACCAATGTGTGCGTGGTTTTTCTTGGGGCATTAATTTGCTTACTGCCCAGGCCCTGAGAAAACTTGGAAATGAAGCTTATGGAAGAGGATAATAATGTCTTGTTGAAAAGCCGTCCAGTAATGCAACCCACAGGGTTGAGGCTTGGCAGTACCAACATCACATAGGAATTTGCTTTGTACTAAACTCTGCAAAACTGTTGAAATATTTGGTTACACATGTTTCAATGTAACATAAATTATAAATTAATTCAAAATATGTTTTCCTTTTTTGACCACATAATTCCACAAAATTGTATGTTTTCTTCTCAGTTATAATAATAATAATAAAGAACATAATTATTTCTCTTCATTATAATTTAATATTACTACCCAAAGTAATCAGTAAGCGAAATAGGTAAAGGAAGACTGACAAAAGAGATAACTTGAACTGAAGAGTTTATTCACAATTTATACACTTGTCATAGCCACATAAAAAAAATTCTGGATTCATCATCACCCTACTATGGAGCATCACATTTTATACCAGCTAGCTATTCATCAGATGAATGCAGAGATATGATATATAACTAGTTAAAGCACTTAAGTTGTGAATTTGTCCCCATAGATGCTTAACCAGACTCTAAAAAGGAAGAAAACTGTGATAGTCAACTTGAGCACATCAATCACCTAAAAAGATCCACCTTAAGAAGAACTAGTCTGTAAATTAAGCCACAAAAAAAGAAAGAAAAAAAAGACAGAGCCAATAAGTTATGGAAAAGCACATTTTGGACATTTCAGCATGGAAGTCAGCATCTCCTTTGGATGACTTTTGTTACTTTATTTTACTTTGAGCCCAGATTTTGCAGATTTTACAAACAAAAAGAAGCTAAGCTAATGAGTTACATTTTTTAGAAAAAAAGATATACTTCTAAATGTGGAGAAAAAACTTTAGACTAGATTTTTGACCTTTAACCTTAACAGTGTAAAAAATAATCTTAGATATTTTATAATTTACATAAAAAGTATTTATGTTATTGTTTATCTCTCTCTCTCTCTTTCCATATATACATTATATATAGTTTATATCATTTTAATCTACTTTATCTATTCTGTTATTGTGTATTTAGAATGACACAAAAAAATCCAAACTTTGGCCGCTAAGGTAGATTTTGTTTTACAGAGTAGATCAAACTAATCAGTGTAAACCTTAAAAAAAATATTTCTCTTCATCATCTGATTGAAAGTGCTCATTGGTCCCATATAATAGATTGTCCTTGTTCTCACCAGAGTTAGCATCTGTGTTTAGATCTGAGATATAATGAATGTTGATTGGCCTGCTTGATGTAATGATTTCAGCTTATTCCTCACTCAGCTTCTTCATATAATGATAAACAATGAATGAACACATGTACACCTATGCATGTATTCATAAGTAATGTTTTTTTTTTTTTTTTACAAAAAAGCAGACAAAGAGAAAAAAGGCCAGCAATAGAAAGAACATTTAAAGACAATGGGATTTGGCTTGAGAATTAACTTTCCACATCAAAAGTATAATAAAAATAAAAGCACGGAAGACCTGAAAATAAAGCATGTCACACAGAGGCGATATAGTTCAATTCAACCATTAAAATCCAACTTTGCTGTAAATTTTAAATGGAAGATTCAACCAAATCACATCTGACACACATTGGAACTGAATTAGTTTCCATAACATGGTGGAAGTGACGGTATTCTGTTACCAAGGCAAAGGAAAAAAAAGGTCAAATGTGTTCCTCGCCTTTAGAGCTACTTTTTTTTAACCAGCTGAGATTTAAAATTAAAAAAGGAAGCTGTTGTAACTTTGAATGCGTGACACAAATTCAAATGATACAGAAGGGGGGAAAAAATCTTCAAAGGTTGTATATATTTAACAGTGTAAAATGGGCTGTTCTTCTTTTAAAAAGAATTCTATTTGTAACATCTAATGGTAAAACATCTTAAAGGCAAACAGTCCCCTCCTGTGTTTCTCACAACAACGTGGGTCATTTTGGCCCTTTGCCATCTTGTACTTTCACAATATTGTCTTTCTCTGACTGAACTTTTCTGGGTGTGGCGTCAAGCCAATCGAGCTGACCTGGGGATTAAAAAAATACCCATTTGGACCACTGAGTTAAGGTAATTTTGTATATTGTGGTAAGGAAATGTGGTCTTGTGACTCCATTGGTATTGTTCCAGAGACAAAAATCAAAGTTGATAGTGATGAAATTAGATTAAACATAAATTTTAAAGGAACATAAACACAATAAAACTTTATTCTTCCAAAAATGTATTTTTTTTTTCTAAAATGCATCACAACACCCAATTACCAATAGAAATAAACTTGAAAATGAAACAGTTGTTAAAGAGAGGGAACAAAAAGTTTGTTCTACGGCTCAAAGATGGAGGTAGATGGAGACAAAACCGAAAAGTGTTGAACAAGATAATGAGTTGCTAAAGGGACAAATTGACCCACAGCCATTTACAACCAGCAGAATCGACATCTCTGGAAATATTGTAAACAGTTTAAAAAAGTCATGCTGCATTTTCATACAAAATCTCTCCATGAGTCTTTACACCACTTTGCTCAAACACACTATTTTTTCTTAGTACATAAAATAATCACACATCCCTTGCCTCCCTCATGCTCCAGTTAAAAAAGGGATGCATTATAAAAAAACAAACAAACAAAAAAAACAATCTGATCTATATGAGCATACCTTTTTAATACCCCATATTATTAGACTTCTAATAAACTGAAAGTGCTACACCTTCTTAAACTGAAAGGGGAATTTTTTTTTCTCCAGCTTGATCTTAAGGTCCGCTTTCAGCTTCTCGGTTCTTGAGCAAAACGTACATTAAATTGAGCAATCACAACAGTCAATGCTTTGTCCTCTTAAGGTGTTTTTTTCTTTACTTCATTTTGTGTCCAAACAAATGTAAACGCAGACACAGCAGTCCTGGTAAAATATGAATGGAAAATGGCTCAGATTGATGTTGAGGGGTGAGGAGGTTAGTGTCCTGCAGGCAGCAGCAAAACTGGGAGGAATTCAGAGACTAAGCAGGACCTTCTGTGTTCTTCTATTGGAAGGAAGAAACCAACTGTAGAAACATCTCAGATCCTGAAAAACAGTAAGAACAATTTTTTTTTTTACATATTATTATTATGACTAGTATTATTACTGTTGCTTTTGTTATTGCTGTAAAACTATTATAGAGCTTTTTATATCAGAAGTATATGTTTTGTCTCTTTATCTACTGCAGTTTTTAATAATCTACGGCAATGGTTCTTGGCTGTCTACATGCGTTTGTATTTGGAATGAAGTGAAGAGAATTGAATTTGATTTTACATGGTGTATAGAACCAGCAGAGAATGTGTTCTGGATTTCATGGATGATTTAAATCATAGTTGGTACTTAAAGACAGTCTACTCAGGCCTTTCAACTGCTGCTGCTGTTGATGAGGAATATCACGCTCCCTTCCTGTTTTGACTGCTGACCTACGTTCTGTGGAACTGCTTAGGCTCTCTCTGCCTGAGCTAAATTATCTTTTCTGTGATACCCCTAAGTTAATCTAACTGTTCAGAAGCACTTTTTATCACAAATTCTACTCCTGCACTTTTCTTCAGAGCCATGGCGCTGTAGAACCGTCCATTCCCCCTGCTCTTAGCAGTAATGATTTTATGGGATTCATTAGAAATAAAATTGATTTGATTAAAAATAAGGTCATTGGCAGCCTTCTAAATATAACTGGATCATCTCTGAAAGGCTGGGAAGCATCTGTGGTAACTATAGAATCTGAACCAGGTTTGGATTGTTTTGATCCAGTTTAACTTTCAGAGTTAGCAAAGCTATTGTCTTCATCTAAGCCTTCAACTTGTATGTTAGGTCCAGTTCCAACCAAATTATTTAATGAAGTATTCCCTCTAATTTCCACCTCCATTCGGTTAATCACATTTTAGATGTGACTAACCTGTTCATGTTACAGTGATATGCATCCCAGGCTTGTAAAGGTAGCTGTAAATAAACCTTTACTTAAGAATTAAGTAATGAGACCTGTACTTATTAAACCATCTCTTGACCCAGATGACTTGGTGGATTATAGACCTATATCTAATCTTCCTTTGTTACCTAAAAGTTTTGAGAAAGTAGCTTCATCTTCTCATAATTTGTGACTACTTACACCATGTAAAGAATGAACATTTTGAAGAGTTTGGATCTGGTTTTAGAGCTCATCATAGCACTGAATCAGCTCTGGTAAAATCCTTAATGATATTCTCATGGCCTCAGATATGGTCATGTGTACAATGGACTTGTATCTGTGCTCGTCCTGTTGGATCTTAGTGCTGCATTTGATCCAGTTGACCAAAATATTCTTTTAGAAAGACTTGATTATTTTGTAGGAATTAAAGACACAGTGCTAGACTGGTTTAAATAGTATGTACAGTATCTGACTGATTTCAGTTTGGTCCCGTTAATGATAAATCTTCCTCATGCTCCAGGATTACCAGTGCTAGGGCCAATTCTCTTTACTATATATATACATATATATACACATATATATATATATACATATATATACACACACACATATATATATATATATATATATATATATATATATATATATATATATATGCTCCCAACTGGCAGAATTATTAGACAGCATGGGATTGTTTCAACTGTTACGCTGATGATACTCAGCTATATCTGTCTATAAATCCAGATGAACCATCCTTATTTCATCTTCAAAGTTACTAAAGTAAGAAATATCCTGTCCAGGGGTGATGCTGAGAAACTATTCCATGCATTTGTTAATTCAATGCTGAATTATTGTAATTCTTTACTATCAGGATGTCCACAAACTGTAATTATAAACCTTCAGCTGATCCAAAATACTGCAGCCAGAGTTATGATGAAAATCATAGCTTCCCTTCATTGGCTTCTGGTAAAATCCATAATAAAATGTAAAATCTTCTTTCTCATATCTAAAACCCTAGAAAACCAAGCTCCATCTCATAACAGAGATCTGATTGTTCCTTATGTTCCTGACAAAGCAATTTTCCCTCAATCTGCAGGTTTAGTAGTGGTTCCTAGAAGATATTTCAGTTATAAAGCTCCTCTCCTGTGGAACCGACTACCAGTTTTAGTCCCTGAGGCAGACACTGTGTCTACTTTTAAGGCTAGGCTTAAAACTTTCCTTTTCCATAAAGCTAGTTAAAAACAGAATACTGCTTGATTACTGGATGAGTAGAGAGGTAGAGCGTTAACAGCCTAAACCGGTGAGGGATACATTTCAGTCCGGTCAGATGTTTCTCCCTGGCTCTACGTTGGACCTATTGTGGACTCTAATCATTATGTCTCTTTTCTCACATTCTGCAGTATTTGTTAAGCTTCACTCATAACTTAGTTATCTCTGCTTTTTTTCTTATCATAGTTGCTTCATCTGATCTGTTCCTGTTCAGCTAGGTCTCCATCCGTGATTGAAATATCAGCTGTTCTGCTGTTTGGCCAGTTTTCACTGTAGTCCTGTTTCTTTTACTGAGGCTATTGGAATTGGCTTGGACCCTATTATCACGTCTTGTTATAAAAAGCCCTCCAAGAATTTGAGTTTTTTTGAGAGAAACAAACTAAGAAGTTAATTGTGAGGTGAAGAGAAACCTTTGATGCAAAAACAGCTGCAGGTCTTCCAGGGTTTTGTCATCATCAGCCTTGATATTATTCAGAATTACACACAGTGGCTTCCCATATTGAACTAGTAAAATGCTTAGGTTTTTTTTTTTTTAGCATTTGTAAATTGTGTAACATTTGCACTAAAAAGGAAATTCTGATTTATTTTATTATTTATTTTTACCTGAAACTCACATGGCTCCATCA